GAGACAATTGGGCATAATTATTTTAACGTTGCTAGTAATTGCCTACAGACTCAGCAATTAAACTCCAAACCAGAAAATAAAGTTTCTTTTATTTCCCCACCCTTGCCTCCCGTTGCAATGATGTCTAGTTCGCAGCCTGGGTTTAGCACAGCCAGAGTCCTGCTCAGGAGCCTGGGTACCGTGCTGGTGGGCTGTTCTCATAACTTCCTGATGTTAGAAGGTTTCTGAGGAATTTTTTTCTTTGCTTTGATAAAATCCTATTTCAGTCTAATTTGTGTAGGTAGCCTATATTGTTGCTGGGCATTTATTCTTCATTATGTTTTATATCTAAAAATGTAATTATTTGAAGAAGACATAGGATGTTTCAAAATGTATAGTAACATTTGGAAACCTTGAAGAGAAACTTGTACAGAAAAGGCACCTTTTCTGGAGTGTGAAATACCCTTGTGATGGAGGATGAGAGAGAATTGGGGATGCTTGTTATCTTTTGAACTTCTTTCTTTAAAAGATTTCAGTATAATCTAAATTTGAACTTAGGTTAGGAATCTATGATGAAGAAATAATCTATATTGAGTTCACACATGTGTAACAAACACTCCCTTGAAGTAACTGTAAAAATAATTGTGAATATTGTAGTGTCTTTAGGATGCAGCCTGACTTTGTTATGAAAATCTTAACCATTTTTATTGCTGGCCTCCTGCGCTGAAAAGATGTGATTTCCTGTTTTTGCAGTGATATGTATGCTGAGAAATGATGCTAATCAGGAAGTAGTTTTATACTACAGAATTTCATGAAAGTCCATGTTTCAGAAAACAGCTGCTTGGGAATAAGACAATGTTACTGCCTTTTAATATCAGTTCTTTATTTCTTTTGGTCTCTAGAGTGTGGGATTATTTTCTATGCCAAAGTTAAGTCTCCTCCATGATCTGTTTTCCTCCAACTAGTTTCTGTTTGTTTACATTAAATGATTTTTAAGGAGATTAAATAAAAATCTGGTGGTTGCATCAGGTGCGATTCTGTTGCCTAAGAGAATAGGTGTCTGCTGCTACTTCAGATGCCTTACTAGGGTAAGTCACATCTACTTGTCATTTCTGAAGGGTTTGGGACTCCCCATGAGTCCTCTGTCTCCTCTGCTAGACCTGGGTGTGGAATAACAATAGATGTTTATAGTTAGGGAACTGATCCCTACCAGTCATATCCTATGTTCAAGCCAGAGTAACTATATTAAGAAGGAGCTGCAAGCCAATTCTACGTTGAGATTACATGGTATTATTTTTTAATGAAGTATAATAAATGGCTGTAGGTGATTGAGGGTAAGCATAGTTTCTAATGGAGAAACTTTTGGTCTAAAAATGTACCCAATGAAGGTGCTGTGTCTGCTGTTGACTTTATGCATTAAAAGTGTATAATCAGAATATATAATTGCTTAAAACAAACATAAAATATTTCAGTATGCCCATTTCTATGTTAAATCAGGAGTTACCCCTTTCAGAATATTTTTCCCTGTCTGATATCTTAAAAGGGATCTTTTGTAAAATAAGTTTTTAAATTTGGTGCTTGCAAATCATTTTTGTCTTTTATGATTCCAGTTCTGATACTAGCAGCTTAATTTTATTCATACAAATTAAACAAAGCATACATGTATATAGGATCAGTGTTTTACTTTAAAACAAGAATTTAAAGAAACTGTTAATATTTGACTTAAACATAGAATGTCTTACTGAAAAATTAGAAGGTGCTATGTACTGGAAAATTACTATTTGTATTTCATAGTATGAATATATTCATGTACCAGGTTTACTTCAGGAAAGAAACTCTTAACCACCTCTCGGGATTGTTTCTGGAAAGAAAACATTGTCTTTAGAGATGTTTGCCAAACTTCCTTAATGAAAAGCAGCCCATTTGTTTTCTTTGCTTCAGGGTATATGCTGAGAGTAGTATAATTGTGCTATTGCAGCTGTATTTCCTCACTGAGAGTTTTATGCTCGATGAAAGACGATTATTAATGTGTTAACAACTCTATGTATCATGATGTAAAAGTATCCGTTACTGTATCCATTGCTGTAGTATTAAAGATGATGGGCTACTGTTTTGGTAAAGCCTTTAAGGTTTCATTGTCTTGAAATTACCATATGTGAAATGAATTCAAATTTATTTCAGGGGCTGCTTTTCATGAATGTTACCTCTTTCTAATTTCTGCCTTAGTTACTCTATATGAATATTTAGTTGCATTTTTTACATTTTAATGCTATAATACCAAGCTTTCTGAAGAGTTCATATGAGCCCAGAAATAATAATAGCCCTGGTAAGGGAGTCAAAAGGCATTAATCTCTGTGCATCCATTTATTTCTGTGCAAAGCAGAATGCTGCTGCCTGTGTGCCTTACATGGTTTGAAGAACCCAGGTACAACAGTGTTGCCTTCTGCTAACCTCTGCTGTAGTCTGCTCTCCTTTCTTGTTTCCCTTTATTGGACCATGACTTTACTCACAGGCAACAGTGCCTATAATTTTATATTTCTAGGGGTTTTGTGGGGGTTGCAAGGAGGGTGGTTCTGATGAATCGCCATGAGGAAATTCTGAGACTACCTGTTTTCCCTCTTCCTTTCACCTCTCCCTGCAAATGAAACATGTCCAAGTTTTTGTCTCCTCAGTGGTCGTGCACTTCTCCATATATATTGTGATGTCCTGGGATGTATCCCTGGGTTCTAGACCTGCCCTTAGCTGCATTGCTTTGATTCTTTCTCAGTCAAGAGGAAGCATGTTAGTTGTCCAAGGCACTTGCAGGGAACTGTGGGCAAGCTAAGTGTGTTGTTAACACCGGTGGCTTAACTGCAGAGGACAGGTTTTGTGTGCAGTCCAGATGATCTTGGCTTGACTTGAAAGCAGCCCAGATGCAGGTGAAGGAATTTTGTGAGTGAGTAGCAGTCAGCCTCAGAATGGTTCCTGAGCTGGAACCAGAGTTAACTCTGCAGCAGAGGAAACCCTTGTCAGCTTGGATATTTGGTTTGAGTACTGGGAGCAAGCAAAATATCACCAGGTGACTTTTGCTTGTAGGGACAGACAAGATAGGCAGAGAGAATGACTGTGAACTTGCTCTGCTAGTGTGTCTGATCTTACCCTGATTTTTATAGTAAAAGAGAAATAATGAAGCTAGGAAGATAGCTTTCTAAACATGAGAGGATCCTAAATTAAGCCACATACTGATGTGGCTCACAGCAAAGTCCAAGCAAGTCCACATGAGCACCCAGAAGAGTGCTGTGAAGTTACGCATTAGTCTGCTCGGAGCCAACGAAGCCAGGGGCGATTCTGAAGCATGCTTGCTTTTGTCTGAACTCAGTCTCTGTCTTTACAACCTAGTTTAATCACTACACTTTGTAGATGAAGGGACTTCTTCCCTTCTCCTGATGTAATCTGGAGCAATTAAGAGAATATCATAGTTTGATTTCCATGCATGCTGACAGTAGTGATCACATTACTGTGGCTTCATGTTTAGGAAAAGGTTGACAATGGCTTTTTAACACTCAGTTTTATTTTATACCCATTCTCTAGCTTTTAAAATCTTTTTTGAAAGATATCTGTTTGTAGTGCACATCAAGATGTGGAGTAGAGGGAGGCAGAGGAGAGGAAAATAATTTCATTATTTGCTATCAGAATTTGGGGGAATATTGTCTGAATTAAATTGTTACATTGAATTATTGTGTTAAAATACAGCTGCTGATTTTTAACCATTTTTATCATAATCTTCATTGAAACTGAAGCTATACTTCAGAGCTATGTTTATTTTTCTAATACAGGAAGTAATAACTGCCATTATTATCATGCTGTTTCTTTACCAAGGTACTTGTGAACTCCCTTTCTATACGCTGTTTCCATCATTCAATCATAGTCCTTTAAATATAGATTTTCTGAAACACTCATGAAGGATGCAGCATAAAATATAGTTCCTTAAAGAAGGATGCTGATTTCTCTGTATTTTTCTTGGTGAAGATGTAAAAGATTTTACTTCTGCTAATTTTCTGTAACTTGTATAATTAGGCAGTGGTTAAAGTAGAATAGTTGAAACCATTACATCCTTCTTGGGGCAGGCTCTGTGCTGCTATACTTAGTGGCAGGCAGAGCACCACAACTGTTGCACCATCACCTCCTGATTACAGTGGACTGTGTGTACTGCTGTGAACATGTCCAAGAGGGTTCAGATGCCCAAAGCAGTACAGTCCCTGTAATGCAAAGCTCTGCTGTCTTTCTCTGCACTGCACTTCTGTATTCTTATATTTTTTAACTCTAATCCAGGTCCTCTTGGAGTCAGTGGAATCATTCCCATATTTTTTAATAATACAAGAAGTGCAGTCTAATCAATACCCAGTTAAAAAGGGCAGCATACTCTTTCATAGGTGATCTGAGATGGCTAGTGTCCATTATTCAGAATCCAAGAAGTACACTTAGATGTGATTCTGGTTAGCACTATACAGTGTCAAAAAAAAATTGCAACCACAGAATAAGGTAAATTTTTTTAATGCCTCTATTTATTATTGCTTTTGTGGTCCCTTATCTTTTGATGCATGATATCTGCAGTGCTAAAGGTGCTTATGATAAATTAATCTGCAGTTCTAGATAGAAGAATTAACTTATTGATAGGAAAAAAATCCAATTGTAGTATACGACAAGTCCATTATTTTGGTTTCTAAAACGCAGAAGTATACATTTCCTCATACAGGAAACGTATGAGGAGCCAAGCAGAAACTGGAATACCCCTTCTGAGGACTCGTATGTCCTGGTTAACAGGACAGTGCAAACAAGACCTGTGACATGCCTGGGAATGCTTTTCTTGTAACAGATGGGCTGGGAACTAACTTCTGTTCAGTAGATGAGATGGGCTTCGTAGCCACGTTTTTTCTTTGTTTTACTTTTTTGAAGAAACATACTACCATTTTGTTAAAACTCTGGATGGAAAACTACTACATTTTTGTGTTCATTATGTTTTGTACAAAAGGTGGCTTATTTGTTTTAGCCTCAGCTTTTTGGAGGGCAGGGGAAGAAGGTGAGTGAGATATACTAAATATCAGTGAGGCATAAACAAACTTAATTACTAAGTAGTCAGGACTAGTCACATAAAACATGGTTTTATTTTTCGGAAACCATGTAGAATTTTGGAAAGAGGAACATGTTTTCACCTTCACAGCAAAACCATTTGATAGAGCCAAGTATTCACATTGCTGAGATCTGGGCTTATTTAATTACCATCTTCAGTTATTTAATTTTTCATACAGAAATCCTAATTAATGCACAACAGGGACAACCAGTAGTATATTTATCACTTCTGTCAGCTCAAAGAGTCAGTCTATAATGCTTTATATGTTGGCTTGTTCACATGTCCAAATTTTGGTTATAAAAATGCTGACCATCAAACTGCACGTTGTTATCTTGCAGCATGGTCTTTCAGATTGCAAAGAGACAGTAGAGTTTCATAATACCACACCTAGCCTGTATCTAACTAATCATTCAAGGTTTTACCCTTGTTTTCAGATTCAGGATACATGTAGTACCTTCTGCACTACACTGCAGTTACCAAGGTTGTGTGAATAGTTCTATCAGGGGAAAGAAAGAAAAAATAAGTAAAGAAGCAGTATATGAGGAACAAACAGATGTAAAGAATTAATTTTTCTCATCTTTAAAAAAAAAAGGGCAAAAAAAGGAGGGGGGGGGCGGGGAAGGGCAAAGCCCCAAAATGGCAAAGAAACATGTTTTTAATGCCTACTTTGCACGTGGTATAGATGGTTTTACGTAGAAATATTGGAAACAGAACATGAGCTTAGAAGTAGCCAAGAGTCTTCTTCCTATATAAAGTGTTTTCATGTGACTCAATTTGAATTAGTATCTTCTAACATTTTTTTATTTCACTTGTTTCAGTCAGATATAGTTTTGATACAGCTCAAAAGCATTCTTGTTTAATTTATCTAGGTTCTGTAATCTGGTTTATCCTTAAATGACACACTTTTGCTTCCCTGATTCTATTTTGTTTTCTTCTCTTTATTTATATTATGGTTATTGTCTAGAGCTTACAAGATCCTGTGAATAAACTAACAGAAAAAGCAGAAAAGGAGGACCTGGAGATTGAGAGCACCAAATCAGTACAAGATCAGCACAGTCAGTAAGTCACGTGGCCTGTATATTAAAATAATAAGTATTTTTGTCTATAATCTGCTATCCAGTCAACAAACATTTATAAATGGATATATAGACACAGCTAGTCTGATCACACTAACTAATAGTAAGCTTAATACAAGAATTCCTGAAATGTTCTAGTATGTACATGAAAACTAATCAACTTTATGGTGAAATTAAGAGCTTTAAAAAGATCCATTAAACCTTTATATGTTTTTCATCTTTCCTAGCCTTCTCTTCATTTTTCAGCTTTTACTTCATTTTTTCTTTAATGAAAGAAATGGTAAACAACTACACATGGCAGAAGATACACAAGCATTGTATTTCTCCCTTCAGCAGCATCTCCTTTCACCTGGGAATAGGATATGGATTCCTGATTGCTTTGAGCAGCGATTAGTTTTTGTAATGTATACAGCATCAGTTAGTAATCCAATGAAGCAGCAGGTACTTAGTAAAAAGTACATCTAAGTGAGCTGATGCTATCAAGGTTTGAGTTACCTGTAGCTCTGAGGTGAGAGAGACTTACGAATGGGCTGCTATAGGGAGAGGAGAACAGGAGAACGAGATGTGATCCCTGCCCTGCGGGACCATCAGGATTCAGTTGCGAGGAGATGCAGCATTGATATAATCCTGCTACCACCTGTTGTTTTGACTATCCCTGGTTAAATGAAGCACCCAGCAAAGGATCAGTTGTCAAAAAGCACAGAACAGCTTGACTCATAATTAGTGGATTTTGCTTGGCTATTTATAATAATAGATTTTTAGAGAGTTCAGTTTTCCAGTCCTTTTACTTGTTTAGATTCAGAACCACTGACCCAAACCACTTTATAAATTGGTCAGATTTGGTACTCTTCAGATAGAAAGGACTCAGCCAAGTACCATTTGGCAGGGAGTTGTCTCCACAGCAGGTCCTTGAATCTGCTGCACCTCATGTGACAATAATTAAAGAATTTCATAAACACTTGTTTTCCTGCAATGTTGAATATAAAATTCTAGAATGAATATGTGATTTATGCAAGATGTGTGCATTGGCACCTACTAGCAAATGTATCAGATACTATGTCATGGTTGTACTTTTTTTTATTTATGGATTATCTTTTTCCTTGTCTGTCATAAAACTGAGGGGAAAAACATTGTCACAATTTTACTGTCTAAAACAAAGATGTAAGATTCTAGAAGAATTACACAAAACAAAGCTTTTAATATACTCATGAACTTTCCATTCACAGTAAACATTCATTATACTACAATTTGGCCTGGATGTAATTTTCCTCTGCTTCCCACAAGCCTATCCTCAAGAGCAGGGGAGGTGGCTCCTCCTGTCCTATCACTAGAGGGTGGGAGGAATGTGCCTACGAAGTCCCCTTCAGCACCACATCAGCCTTGTGGCTGCTTCATTCCCTTGTGGTTGAATAGCTTTACACAAAATAATAGCAGATAGAAAGTATATATTCTTCATTAAAGATATTACCTTTGTGTATGGATTGCATGTAAACCACAGCTTTTTTTTCCTGTTAAGAGCTTTTTCAACACTGCTGATTTGTTGGGTTTTGTTTTTTTTTTTTTAGAAGTCTGCTGACATGGGACAAAACTCACCTGACTGATTTTTAATTAGCTGCTGTTAAAAAGAGAAGTGCAGAGTGGCTTTAGTTTGTTTGTTTAGGGTTTTTTTGGAACAGTCGTACCTCCTTCATGGTAGTTATGAAAGACCAAATCTGGAAAAGCAGAATACACTGTACTTTTCATTACAGAGATTTAGTTAGATTAAAAATGGAAGGGTGGCAGGTATTAATAGTTGATCTTCAATTTAATTTTGTTTTTCAGCAGACTTCCACCAGTGAAACAATGAAAGTTAACAGCAGACCAGCATATGTAGCAAATGCAAGAGTGCATCTGAATTACTGTTTATTTGGTATTGATATGATTCTGTAATGATGTGACCAAAAAGAGAAAAATGTATTATTGTTCTATAGCCTTAGAATTATTTTCTCAGGTTTTTTTCTTATTCTTTCAAATTAAGGTTGATTTCATTAGATGAGGAGAGCCATGCCAAGGAATCAAACTATTCAGGTATTTTATTTCATGTTATCTCAATTTCATAAGCGCTGTCATACATGAGGGTTTTTTTTAATTTTTGTTTGTTTCCTATATGTTCAGCTTCACCCAGCAAATCCCTACAAATGCATAAAACTTAAGGCTGGGAAGATCTGTTAAACCTAATCTCTTATATATTATATCCCACTGCATTTCATTCAGTTACTCTAATAGGTCAAATAGCTTGTCTTCCAAAGCATAATTCTTACATGAGGCACATCTTCAAGGAAACGATTACAGATTAGTAGGTGTTGAGACAAGGAAAGTATGTGATTTAGCTTGCTAGTTTTTTCCACTGATTAAACATGTACTCTGTTAAAAACTTAATGGATTCAGTGGAACTTCTGCTGCCCAAAAGCTAAGCAAAGTCATATTCAGCTGCTGCCAATGACCTGATGTGTTGTTATTGCCCAGTGACTGACACAGCCACGCTCTCATTGGAGGTGTACACTGAGAGAATGGGAGGAAAATTCTAATTACATACTAGGAAAAAAAGTGTTTATAGTGAGGGTAGTGAAGCGCTGGAAAAAGTGCCTGGAAAAGGCTATGGAATCTTCATCCCTGGAGATCTTCAAGACTTAACAGGGCACAGACGTGACACGTTCCCTGTGGAGCCTGATCTAATTTCATAGCTGACTCTACTCTGACAAAGGGCTTGGGCAAGATGACCCCCAGAGGTCCTTCCAGCCTAAATAATGCCATGTCTTGCCACATATCTTTTTCTACTAAATTAATGGAGAATCATTTTAATATGTGGTTATTTTATCCTCCATGAAGATACTTGAAAGGTACTACATAAAAATCAAGACTCCTCTCAAATCTTCATTTCGATAGATGAACCATATTGATATCTTATAGACATCTCCTTTATTTTTGAAGTTTTTGTTTCCATTCCACTTTGCAACATTGCTTTTAAAATGTGAAATACATAATTGGACAAGACATTTCTGATGTTGGTCTCTCCTATTATGTTTCTAGAATGTAAAATCACATTCCTGTTTCTGTATCCAAAAACGATAGCCATTTTGCTGCAACGTCAATTTAGAAGCTCACATTTGAATTTGTTGTTTATCAATACTCAGTTCCTTTTGGTCACAGCTTTCCAGGGCTCATTCTTCCTTTCTACAGCATGGCTTATACTCCTTATTCCTAGAGATGCAACTTACGACTTAGTGGTATTAGGTTCTCCCAGCTCTAACTACAAAAACTGAATGACTAGCCTGAATGACCACCTCTAGTAGTCTGTTAGTTGTTTGCACTTTTTTTCAATAGTGATTTTGTCTTTATTTTCAGATGACTGCTAAAGCCATTGAATAGTGATGGATATAACACTAAACCTTGCAGATCTAAACTAGAAACACTTTTACTTTGCAATTATTTCTCTTAACAACTGGTTTTTGACATCTGTTAGTTGTCAAGTTCCTAATCCATTCAATATGTTCATTATAGATATTATGTAGTGCTGACTTTTTAGCTGGAAGGCTATGCAGTGCAAAGCCAAGTTCTTTCTAAACAAATATTGTTACCAAAGAAAGCCTATAGTTTTATTAAAGAATGAAATTAGTTGCATTTTTTTAACTAGGCCTGCTTTCCATAAAAACACCTTTTATTATAGGAGCATGTATTATGCTCATATTCTTTTGCTAAATCCCATACTGAATGGGATTCAGTTTATGTTTTGCCTAGGAGTAATGGTGAGCTACCAGCCCAGAGTACCTACAATTATTTGAGTCAACCTGTTAATTATTGTTGTTGTTTGGTTGCTTTTTGAAATACTGACACAATATTAGGACTTTTCCAGTGTTTTGAAGTTTCACTTATTTTGCAGTTAATTAGATCAGATATCTCTTTAACAGTGTATTTTATTATTCTTGAATACAAAATCTGACTTATATTTTCTTAGCAGATGTTTTCTAGAATCTCAGTTACTTACGAGCTGTAAAATCTTTCACCGTCATCCATAATATAAATACCTTGTTCTGTCTCTTTCTCCATCGCCCCTAAAAGGAACTGAAGTATTTTGGAATACTTCTGCTTGCTCTACTAAATTTTTCCATCTCCATACACTAGTGGGTCTGTGCCATTGCTAAGATTCTTTTTTTTTTTTTTTCCTTAAAGTACTTTGTACATACTAAAGTAACACAGATGTAATGCTACTAGTGATGGAGCTGTTTTTCTTCTTAGTTTTCTTAATCAACTGCTTCTACTTCATAACTTCCAATTTTTTAATCATTTGCTCTGCGTTTTCACTGAATATACTATTGGATGTTTTTAAGATTGGCTCCATCATGTTTATCACTGAAATAAGGCAGGCTTTCAGCAACAGCTGTACTTTTTTCATTACAGAATTGTGGCCATCCATATCCCTCCCACCTTTCATGAACTTCTCTTTCTGATTTTTTTTTTTTTTTCCCCCTCTGCCTGTCAGTTTAGAGTTGGATCTTTCCCCTTTAGCTTTCTGCATTGTCCTTTTAGGGAAGCATCTTGAGTGTAATCAGATGTGATCATGGATCCTTAAATGACCAGCTGATTCTAGTGCTGGTAGCACATTTCTGTGATTGTCCTAGCAAAGCCTTGTTAAAATAAGCTGTTGTGTTTCATTTAGTTCTGAACACACCTTGAAGTTTCTCTTGAAAGGGTTTGGCATTCAATTTTTATTTCCCTTTAGAGAATTTTCTTTCTCCTTTCCAGCCTCAAGTTTGAGGCTTCCAGCAGATCTGCTTTCCAGTTCTGGCAGTACTGTGACCGACCCCTTCATTTGCCTTTAGAGCTACAGACTTAGTTGTCTAGAAGCTAGATTTCCTCAACAATTAATGGGAGAGAAAGGCATGTTCAGCAAGTAATTCAACCCTCCTGTTTTGTTACATATCTTAAGTGGGATTAATCACCTGAGGGAGGTGTCCTTCTCTTCATTGACAGCCAGAATCTAGATGATTATTTTAACTCCATGTTTAATTTAAGAAATTTTCTAAGAACTTAAGGTAGTTACAGTTGAGGCACAGTGTTTTTTCAACTCTGATGGCCTAAAACCCTCAGCTATACGTTTTCCCTCCTATTTGTCTTAGCCTATTTATTTTCCTGCAGGAGAAGAGGTGCTATTACTTATATCCTGACCTAGGGTGTTTTGGGGGAAGATTCCTTTTCCCCATTCCTGGAGTTATGAGAAATGATATATTGTCAAGGAAGGCGATTTAGGGAGTGATGAGGTCCTGGGCACTTATGTGCTCACTCTTGGCCTGTTTAAGTACCAACATCCAAAAGTGTCTCTGCTTCTGGATGACAGCAGAGACCTGTCTGATTCTTGCAGTTGCCTCAGTTGGCTGCACTCAGCCTGGAGATGGACTGGTGTGACAAGCGGTGATTCAAAGGAAGTTTCCCTGTAGGTTATTAATCAGAAATTGGCCTCACTTCTTAGAAATGCTTATAGCTTGGGTCTTTCATCCGTTGTGACCAGGTTCACGTTAAACTTGAATGCCAACAAACCTTGCATGTTGATCTTACAGTGACATTGTTTATAAGCATGGTCTTGTGCCAAGTGCAATTTGACATGCTTATGGATCTTAATTACAGCTGACGATAGCAAGGATGTCATATCCACGTTACAAGGAAGTTGTAACCACAAGCAGAACTCGGGTGAAGAGACTTAAGAAAACCACCTTTAGATGTGTACATACTGATTGTCAGTGTACTGCAGATCTTCCTTTGTTGCTTTTCTTTTTTTTGTTTTCTTTTTTCTTGTAGGTGCCATAGATCACTTGTTAGACCTGCAACCTGAAGAAAATGGTATGAAACATTTATGCATGTCTGTTTCATCTGCTTTTCAATTACAGGCACCAATTAGAATGTTAATCTTAGATCTTAATTGTTTTCATAATCTGAAAGGTTGGATGAAATTATTCAGCTGCGGTATTTAAACACTGTTAAAGGAAACTCAACTTGATATACACCAAGTCACTATTCCTGATGTTATAATGTGAAGTAAACCTTACTGGGGATAAAATGCCTTGTAACAGGTGATTCAAGGTTAGATATACTGGAGTATATCACATTTACCCCACTGAAGTAGGTTCCACTGTAAACCTTACCCCTCCTATAACATTGCACAAACTTTTCTTTTTGGTTCTTTAGCTGTTGTATCGCAACCCTTGGCAATACACTAGTAACCACAAAGAGTTTATATCAGAAATGTATGTATCAGAAGTAGATTATTTAGTCCTCTTAAAACTATGTAATAACTGGTGACTTCTTTCAGCCAGGTAATTAATTAAATCTGCTGTGCCGTTCTCATACACATATGAGAAAGCAATCTTTCATTCCAGGCGCTACTCCTATCCTTATGCTTTTGTTAGATCGGTGGCAGCTCAAGGGCGTATGCTGGTTTTTTCCAAAGTTACTGTTTTACCATGTGACATATGAAAGTTCTGGCTGAAAGTTTTATAATTATTTTTCATATGCAGTAAGAATATTGCATATAATTTCGCTTTTGCTTTTCACTCATATATCTCCGAAGAAGGAGTAAAAAAACCTTCAACAACAACAAAAACAACTGTGACTACTCAAAAAGCAATTAAAGAAGCAAAGAAAAAAAATCCCTTTATGTGGTTTAGTCAGTCAGACTGAGAGTATAATTTGGGCTGTTTCAGGCACTGCCTTCATGGTAGGTAAGGAAGAGACCATTTGCAAACACGTTGACATTGGATTTGCCGCAGACAGTCTCTTGTACTGTGGGGAAATTACTCGTGTGGGGAACACCCATGAAGGCAGGAACAGGGAAAGTTCCTCAGCTGACTGTGCTGCAGAAGCAGCCCTAATCTGTGGAGAGATAATGTAGTGATGACGTCTTTTCTGTGGTCAATAAAAAAGGTCAGTGCATGTCTGATAGTGGCATTTTTTCTTCTGGTTTTCACCTTACTCAGTTCCATTCCTTGTTGAACCTTCTTAGTGGAGATACAGATAATGCATATGATTAATGGTCATACAGGTTTAGCTATGTCTGTTAGAAGACTATTTTTTTTTTCTTTTGTCAAATAGTTAAATCAATATGAAACAGTTGTGAGGCAGCTACATCAGATAAGATTGTGTGTGTTTCAGAAGATAGTCTTTATCCTGTGTTTCTGATCATGTATCAAAATATTTTTAGTTTTTCTTCCCATTTATTTTTTTTAATTACCAGTAAAACGAGGCATGTTTGCAAAGGAATATGAGCGTTGCTAGAGGCTTGCTCAAACAACTACAAAAAAGAATATAGTGATTTTTTTCAGTGTTTCAGTGGGGATTTGGGGGTATTTTTCATGGACTTTTATAAGGTTAGGGGCAACATGTGCAGACAAAAAAAGAATTTTGACTGTGAAAATGGGCAGTGAAAACAGAGAAAAAGGAAAAGAAGTAATAGAAGATATATGGATGAAATAAGAAAGTCCATATCATTCTAGTAATCTATCAGAGATACCACATGTGTAATATCTTGATAAGTAAGACTAGTTTCAAGATAAACTTTACGGCAAACAAGAGTAGAACTTACTGCTGCTTACTTGAGGCAGCCTGAGCATAAGCACCACCCTATCCTCCCCTGCCGCAGGTGCTTTGTCCCTGCAGGAAGATTAGAAAGACTGCTGAGACAAGAAATGTCACTCCTCTGTCAGGTGGTCGTACACACTACAGCGAGGCCTGACTGCTCTTCAAATGTAAAGCCATGTTTTACCTTCTCCCCTGGTAAAAATGGAACTACTGCAATGGGATACCCAGGTGAAGCAGAGCTTTGCTCTGAGCTGTGTTGCTGCAAAGCTTTTGCTCCATTATAGTAAATGTCATTTGTGGTTAGGTAGTGTTAATGGTGTGTCTTAGCAGATCTGATACTAATGATGCTCTCTTTGCATCTCCCCCTGCAAGCCTTCCACATTCATGAAGGGGCCTCCTGAAAGCAGATTTGAGATGTGCTGTCCCATAGAGATCAGAGTTCTTAAGTGCCTTTGAAATAGCAACTATCTTTCCCCAGCAGAAGAATTTACCTCTCTGCCTCACCCGCTGAATAGACAGAGACTTGGGGGAATGTAGGTGCTGGGACAACCTTAACGTTCTTTGCTGTTTATCTGAAGATGGGAAAGCAGACTGAAAATTTATGAGAACAAATTGTTTTCTATGGTATTTTAGTTATAGTCTAGTGGGAACATCAGGAGAATTGATGTGTTTGTAATGTTTCTATTTCTAATTTTTGGGCCCTGTGAGGGAGTACAGAGGTATATAAAAATGTGAATTAGAAAGGAGCTAAATCTGAGAGCTGAATTCAGTGATGAATAAAATCCTTGTATTGTTTGTTGGTTTATTTGTTTCTTTAGTACGTAGGTGTGTATGCTGACTCATCAGCCTATTTTAAAACACAGTTTTGAGCTTTTTTTTCCTCTGGCTAAACTTCAGCCATTTTATTATAAATTATTACAGCTATTAAAAAGCAACTTTCCTGAGAAGGCTGTTGCATTTGAATAAAATGGCCTGTTGCAACCACTTTGCTACTACCAATCTTTTATCCCAACCCAAAAGGGTTAAAAACATCTTTGCAAGTTGTATGCAACTCGGAGAGTTCAGCTGATCTGTCCAAACTTTGGAAAATTGAAGTTGCTTCTGTGTCTTACCACAAGTCTGAAATGAGCATAATTAAGATAAACTGATCTAGGTTTCAGTAACGTAACATTATCAACATTGTTAACTACCATTTTTGTCCTCTGTGTACTCCCACAGTGGAGCTCTAAATGTTTCCAAGTAAAACAACACTTGGGGTTCCTTGACAGTTCTTTCACTCTCCAAATATTTTGTAAGCTAGAGGAAAGGATTATGATCCTAGTTTCGAGCTTCATGTATTTCATGTAACTATTTAACATTTCCAAAACAGTTTCTAAGGAGTAAAGGCTTGAGTGATCTAAGAGCTTCCTTCAGTTGCAGTTCTAGTGCTAGAAAAACTGGCAAGCAGAATCAGAAGAAAGTGGACCCAGTTATTTCTCAGCAGTCCAAGAGAGAGAAAAAAAGTTACTACAGCATTGAACTGTGTAGAAAACTCACTCTGTGTAGATTAACCTGTTCTCATGGGGAAACACCCCAATAATTCAAGCACTGGTCAGAAGGTCATAAAGGTCATCTTAATATGTTGTCACAAAATTGTAGAATAATGCCCAATTCTTATTTATTTTCAATTTATAACAATCTGATTTTTTTAACGGTTTTATATAAAACTTCAAAAAGCAACGTAAAAGTAGTCTTCTCCAGTGTTTTAGACTATATAATGATTTTGGTGTGGTGAGCAATTGATTTGTAAGCATACTTACTGTTTTTTAGTGACAAATGAGTCTTAACAGCAGTGGGGTTATCTAAGATAACCAATGCATTATTTGTTCCATAAGCTACAAGCCCAGATGTTGAAAACAGTTGACTCTAAAAGAGAAAACAACAAGTATTAATGCAAAAATATTCCATTTCACTTAACATACAAAACCTAGATTTGATGTTTTAAGAAGGTTCCTTCTTTTCTTTGTTTGTCTAAAAAATATTTATCTTGACTCTTTTGTTGTGAGACAGCTTCAAAGGATCAGTTTGTGAGGTCCCTGGAATCAGAACCTGGTGATAAGGATGACATGGTATTACTGAATGAGATCCTCAACGCTTCCTCCCTGGATGAGGGGGAATTCAGCAAAGAGTGGACAGCTGTTTTTGGACAGGTTGCACTTGCAGATCTCACCATGAACTCTTCGGCTGGAGATATGGAGAGCACTTCATCATCGGTGGCACCAACACCATCAGGCTACTTGCCCTCACAGCTGTTAGACCAAAACATGAATGACTTGCAGTCGTCTTTACATGGTGAGAGCTCATCTTGTTCTTTTATCATTTTGGTTTTGGCTTTAGGCTTCAGAGTAGGGCTTTCCGCTGTGTGTAAGTCTGGTTACAGCTTATGTTGTGCCATGGCTGCAGAAACCCTGAAGTTAAAGCAGAGTGTGGCCTAGAGAAAAACTTGAGTAGTGTATTTGTTTTTCTACAAACCCTGCTCATTCAGTGTTTGTGAATGAAGTACTCTAAAACCTAAAGTCAAGTTTACTGTCTTAAATGTTTTCTTTGAGCTTCCTGAAATGTTCTGTAGGCCTTTGATATATTTTTTTTTCTGTAACAGAAAATCTGTTTGAGTGGGTTTTACTGCTTAAATCACAACTACTGTTTCTCTTAACGGGCCAAAGAACCAAAAATGATTACTAATTCATTTTCCGTTTTTTTCAAAGAATCCCAAAGAATCCCTGTAGGGATATGGGTAAGGTAGAATGGGTTGTCTCATCCTAGCAAACATACAGCTGGATTCCTCTTGTAGGCTGCTTATCTACTGATGCAACTCTTTCTCTCTTCTTTTGAGAAAAAGGAACAATGAAAAACACCTTTCCTGATACAGAGACATAAACTATATTTTAAGCATATTACTGAAAATAGCAACAAATATTATGGGATTGATTTTTTTTTTCAGAAATTTTAACGTGTTTTTAAATGTAAACATGTTTTTGAAGGAAAAATGTTATTGAGGTGTAAATGGCAAACAGAGCTGGGTATCCTTTCTGAGGCTGTTGTTACCACTCTCATTTGCACAAGACACTGCCATTGGCTGCGCTGTTAGAACTTCACAATCAGAACTCTGGTATGTTCCAATCAGGGAACACTAGGAATGGAAAATCCATTCCAGTCAACATGGTATGCCAAAGTCTTTTTCAATAAGAAAAAGAATAAAATTGGAACAATAAAATATATTGGATGTTTTCAAATGGATTTCCAAGGTTTTGGCAGAAGATCGTGGTAATTGATCTACTGGCATTTGAAAAGTCAGGGCGCATCAGCTGAATGATTGTATCTGATAATCAGCATGTTCCCAGCTGACTCCATTTGCCAAGTAAAACACATTATTTAAACTAACTTTCACAGTTTTTTTGTTTCTTATTTTTTAACAGAAAGTGAAATTCTGACCATTTTATATCTTGTGAAATCTCAGCTTTAATCTTAAACTGCATTTAATGTCACTTCACAGCACTTCTTTCATTATTTGACCTTATCAATATATTTGGGAACAGAGACTATTATTTTTTAAACAAAATATGAACTGCAGTATAAACATATCTAAACATACAAATTGGAAATAATAGATGAATTATGGATATTTTTACTGAGGGCTTGTGATACATCTACACTTCCCTCCCCCAGTTGGTAGGATTGCTCAATAATTATTTGTTGTGAGGTGCTACACTGGAGCCTCAATGTTGCATACTTCCTGTGTGAATTTGACCTCAAGACCATAAAGATTCTTAAAGCTCACATGCTTAACTTTAAGCACATTAACTTTTCTATTAACTTCAGTGGGATTACTTACTTATTTTACATTAAGCATGCCCATAAATCTTTGGGGCTTTGTTTTCTCTCTGCCTCAGATCTTAATCTCTAAAACAGGCACAATGCTATGCAGGTTATAAACTGTTATGGTCAGGAATTCCCAGCTCGGAGTTTTCTCTGGCTGTATTTATAGGCAGGATCTAGCACAATGGGACTTTGAATTGCTATGGGACTACCAGGTGCTGGTTTAAAATACATATAAATGTGCATATGTATATTAGAAACAAAGCATGCTTCCAACCAATCTTTGATTCTCCTGCAGATACAGCTTTGCAGCTTGTTTGCCTTTCCACTTTTTCAGAGAGAGCATTGGCTTTCTCTTTCATGATGCTTATGGCCTCATTTACTTACTTACTCATACCACTAAAGGCTCCTTTCTATCTTCCCTACATGTGCATATATTCTAGCTGGTAAGAAAATGTGAAAATGTGCAGCTCACCATTTCCATTTCTAAATTTAATTGTGGTAATATTTGTGAAGATGCTAGCTGAAAAGTAAGCTGTTTGGTTTCCTTGCTGTCTCGGCAATAATCTTTTGTCTAGTCACGTAATGAAGCCATCCTGTGAGCAGGCAGACCAGAACAGGCTTAGGGCCAACAACTGCTTTCAAATTGATAGGAAGCAGTTTGGTTTTGAAAGGCAAAGTTGTTCTCTGTAGCTCACTGTGAGTGGACACTAAAAACATAATTTATTAAAGTATTTAATAAAAATTCTGTGTCAGTCTTTCCCAATACCTTCATAGATGGGTAAGTTCATTACAAAAGCATCACACATTTTATGGAGCATTTTTGGTTGGAGGTTTTTGTTGCTGCTGTTAGGTTCTTTTTGTTTTCTAAGTGGTACTTGAGCTCCTTGCGTTTCAGTGAACAGAGAACCAGACCACAGCATCTCTCAGAGACATCAAGCTACTTATCAAGCCTTAGTCTGGGGACTCAAAAGAAGGGCTTCAAAGGAGTTAACTGGTCTGTGATGCTTTACTCTGTGGTCTGTCAGTCACATCAGTGTAAATGAAAATCAGTGAGGTCTCAGGGAGCCAACTCCTGATCTCGCTGAAGTCACTGGGACTTGCACAGAAAGTTTCCAGGCAGCATTCCCATTCGTTTCTATGAAATTAGGATTTGGCCCTGTTTGCTTAAGCGGCTCAATTTATCCATTGCTACCCACGGACGTATTAAAACACTTTTTCACAATACATGTCCGAACAGACAAAAGCGTTACAGTTTTCTGTAGTTGTGTGTAATGTCCTCTGCCGTTCTTCTCTTTTGTAACACAAGCAGAGAAAATGCCTAGAAAAGTATATAATTTTGAGGTGTTAATGCCATACTTTTTATTATTTATGATTCAAATTTGCTTATTTGAAAGATTAATCTCTAAAATCTTATTTTCAGGGGGGCACAGGCTACCTCATAGGCTTTTGTCACCTTTGCCTAGAACAAATATATGTGAGCTCTCTGTATCCAGATTTTGAGGAAGTTTTCAGCTTGTTTCCTTAGAGATACAGAGGATGTTTGTGACTTTAAATTTCCCTCCTAATTCATGTGATTTAATAGAAACATTCTTCTTGCCTCCTTTCAGTAACATAGGTTGGGCTTCAGACCTTTTGTAGTCAAGGTAAGATCAGAGAGTGTTGAGAAGAATCTATGGGAGAGGGGAAGGGTTAATGTGACTTAAGTGGTTGTTACAGTAACTTTCAGGACATAGGGTACCAATATCTGACAGGGATCTCAAAAGAGGAGAAAGTAAGGGGAAGAAGGACAAAGAAAGTAGAAAAGGATGTGAGAGCATCCTTGTAGAAAAAAGAGACTGAATAAGGAAATGTTAGCTGTGTGCACAAATTAATACCCTGTTTGTGATACTGCAGAATTAGATATACTAGATCCCTGAGATGGATGGATAATTGATTAGGCCACAATTAAAAGACATATTATTGAAATAAGAAATACAACTTCCAGTCCTCTAAATGTGATAAAGCATAAGAATTTAAATATCTTAAGCCAGGGACAAAAATGCTTCATTTTTTCCTAATATGTTTCCATGGTACACCACCCCTAGTTCATTTTACCAGCCTAGCTCACTTGGCTTCATTAACTGTATTTATGATTACTCTTTTGTGGCCATGGAATATGCATGTAAGAAACAAAATGGTGAATAACCAGTTTTACTTTTTCCTGCATAGTTGCTCTCTCCCTGCTGAGAATATCCTTTCAAATGAAGAACAAAAAAATACTTCATTAAAACCTAGTTTAAAGTTAACTCAAAATAATGCATCTTGAATTTAATTCTTCAAAGTGTTGTGCAAGAAATTATTTTTTTCAGAATTAATCATTTCCAAATTAATTTAAAAAATCTATGATCTCTAAATATATTTTTTTTCTGGAACAGTTGATGAAATGAAAGTCTTTGAAACTGTAAAAGTAAAGGAAGGTGGAAATGTGTGATATTTTTGCCCAAATGGAAGTGATATTCTTTTCCATACAGCTATGCTTGACTTGATTACTGTATTGGCCTTTCTATGAACAAGTATTAACTGTGATTGGATAAAAGAAACAAGAAAAAGTCCTTTTTAGGCAGGTTAAAGGTTTGAAAAGGGTATAGTTGCCTGAATCTGGAGATTATGAAACTGATACACAGATATTCTCTTCTCAAGGATGTTGCTTGTCTGCAGCATCTGACTGCTGATTTCCTGTGTATGAGGAAAGATACAAACAGCCATAACCGTAAACATAATATTCTGCTTCGTCATCTGGTGTGAGCATTGTGCTGCCAGACAGTGGGATGTTGGCGTTAACAAAGTAATTCATCATGCTAATGCTACTGTATTATTGAATTTTAGGATGGGCAGCCAACAGCGTGAGCCCCCTGTCTATACCACAGCCAGCACAGAAACCAAACAGCCTGAATGTGAATGCTAACAAGACGCCTGTGAAAGGTGATAGTCATGTATTTTTTCAGTTACTTTGCTTTTCCTTTTTAACTGTGACTCTTGTGTCTTTCTGGTCTTCTCGGTTACTCTATCATAATAAAACCTATTTTTGTACTAGTTGCATGTCAAGAGTCATGTGCTCACTAATGAATTACTCTCTTTCAGCATTGGTTATGTGTATGATATGTATATGTATGTGTGCATTTTTGGTAGACTTCCGTGCTAGTAGTATGTCAAAAGAGCAATTTACTATATAATGAGGGAGCTGAAACTAGTTTCTTTTACTCCTTTAATTGAGTCACACAGAATAGTATCTGCATGCACTTTGTCTAAGCTAAACAGTGTTTTGAATAACTAGGAGGGCATTGTGGCTAAAATACAGGCTACTGATAAGGCAGAAGAGCCCTAATTGCAAATTTTGTTGATAACATGTATCGTATCAGTATTCATCTGTTTGAAACTTAATTCACTTCTTGCAACTGAGCCAAGACTGCATAGTCCTGCCATCTACTAAGACAAAGCCCTGTTGACTTTGACTAGGGTTTTCTGGAGAAATGAACCAGAAATATGTTGAATCCTTATTGCCAGCCTGTAGCCTGTTCTGTGCATTCACATTCAAACAGAAGCTACGTCAAAGATGTTCAGTGCAGAAGAAAGGAGCAGTGTGTATTCCTTCCCCTGCCTTGGAAGGATTAAAAGACTTACATGTTTCAGCCCTGCAGAAAAAGAGGGTTAAGATGTTTTGGAAACTGTTTTGGAAATGAATATGATGCCATACCTACAGTACCTTCACCAGAAAAAGGAACAGCCTTCAGCTACATTAAAATCTGTGTTTCTGAAAGCGGCAGATACTCCAGCCTTGCACAAATGAAAGTCATGCCAGGCGGAGCCTATTTTTTCCATAAATTCCTTGTTTTAGAAAGAATGTTTTCATAGCATGTTTTCTCTCTGAGTGGAAGAGCACATCTTATTTCACTTTTGATATAATACGTGTTAAACAGGGTCACAAAAACCAGCCAGTGGTGATCTACCTTCTTTGTAGCAGCCAAAGTCACCTGCTCTTTAACGTGAACATCTGCCCTTTTGGAATAAGAGAAGGTAGGAGACCTCTGTGACATCTGTACAGCAATATAAACACATAGATGCAATAGTCCAGCTGCTGTTGGAACATATTCCTGGTTCATATTTCTTAATATCCATCCAAAAATATACCATAATACTAGAAGCTGTACTTGGGTCTGGCTATCAAATGTACCTCCCCTCTCTCCAGCCTATACCTTCCCATCAAAACTTCATTCTAGATGAATAATGACACAAGGGGGACAGAACAGTCCCATGGACTGGATTTAAGCAAAGGAATTGAGTCCTCATAGAGAGGTTGAAAGTAAAATTTGCCTTTGCTTTCCTTTTACTTTTTTCAGGTATGCAGGTGCACACACAAGTAAAATACCTTTCATGAAACAAAGCTAGACAGAGCGAGACTGTTCCTCTTTTTAATTAAAGTGTTCCTGTACTTATGATGGGAGGAACCATATAGAATACACAGGCATACAGATGTAAAATATTCACTCTTACTAAAGTTCTATATTCTGTTAAAGGTAGTGTTTTAAAAGGCCATCACTCATTCCGATTATCTTGTCAGAAGTGCCCTTAGTAATAAATTAAACAATAGCTTGGCATTTGTTTTACCTCAGTCAAACATTCAGTCAGTTTTGTTTTAAAATAGTTGACAAGTCTGTACTTTTCTTTTTTCCAGAACCTATGAAGAATCCTAAAGACTTGACTGCCTGGTTCAGTCTCTTTGCTGACCTTGACCCATTGTCCAATCCTGATGCTGTTGGGAAAACTGATAAGGAACATGAATTGCTTAATGCATGAGTCAGCTGCCTATGGTAACTCATATTCTTCTCTTCGTCAACACTATTTTGGGGTTTAAAAAATAAAAACTAAATGGAAATTAGTATGCTGTTGTGAAACTATAAAGTATGTGCCATGATAATAAAACTAAAATGAATTAATCCCCTTTTATATAGGTACAGTTATTTGCTCGTTTTGTATAAAGAGTTTGCATTTATTTTCTACGTGGATTTACAAAAATGAGGTTAAGAATTAGGGCAGATTTCTCGCCAAATTAGATTATCTGCTGAAACACTGTCTTTGCCTAAGGTGATGCGGAGCTAACACTGGAGTGAAATACAAATTGCAAACCTATTTTTTTATAATGTTTCTTGAGTAAATTTTAAAAAAATCATGTAACTGAGGAATCTGCATGATTCAAACATCTATCATGTATATAATAATATACCTGCTACGTTAAGACGTCAACTAAATTTTTGTTATTACTCATAGTGAAAAACCTGTGCTGGGGCTAATTATTGAAGAAATATATTTCGGTCTGTGCAGCCATGGAAATTGTGCCCTTTCTGATTTAACTTATTAGACAAACTGTACTACATAAGCAGAAGTCATGCCCAGCAGGCTTCTTTTCTGAGGTTTTTCTCCATTGCACCAACAGAATTTGTGCCTGTTTGCAGAAGTTTCTTGCAATTGATGCTTTACCATGCCTTCACAACATTCATGTTTCTGTTTGCAGTACTTTTCATCCAGTTTATTTCTGAAGCATGTGTTGTTTTGAGCTTGTTGTGACATTAATTCTTCAATAAAATGTTTTTGACAAAAAGGACCTTTGATTACCACTGGAATGCTGGTGGGCTGTTGAATTGGTACCTAATAAGCATCTGAAAATAAAATATATGGCCAGTTTTTAGATGGTACCTAATAATTCAATCTGTTTCTGAATAGTAATCCAGCAGGACAGTAAGAAAATTTGAACTCACTCAGTGCCTTTTTGCCTCCTTGCTCTCCTTTTACAGCAAAGGAAGGGAAAAAGGATGTGTCAGCAGCCACTTAAGATCACAAGTTCTGTGTACTGTATAGGACCTGCTTTGCAATTTGTTATATTTGGCCTTTTAAAATTCAAGTTCACCTTGGTGAAGCTTTTCACTACCAGTTAACTGTACACTCAGTTAGTTAATCCTTGCGTCATGGTCTGTTAGATAACTAAGTACCTACAGGGTGCAGTTTTGGGCACCTCAGTATAAAAAGGATATAAAGCTACTGGAGAGTGTCCAGAGGAGGGACACTAAATTGGTGAAGGGCTTAGAGGGGAATACATACAAGGAGAGGCTGAAGTCACTTGGTTTGCTCAGCCTGGAGAAGAGGAGACTGAGAGGAGATCTCATCGCAGTCTAGAACTTCCTCACAAGGGGAAGAGGAGGGGTGGATCCTGATTTCTTCTCTCTGGTTACCACTGACAGGACCAGGGGAAATGGCAGGAAGATGCACCAGGGAGGTTTAGGCTGGACATTAGGAAAAGGTTCTTCACCCAGAGGGTGGTGGAGCTCTAGAATAGGCTCCCCAGGGAGGTGGTCATGGCACCAAGCCTGACAATATTCAAGAAACATTTGGACAAGGCCCTCAGACACATGGTCTGATCTTGTGACTGTCCTGTGCAAGGGCAAGAGTTGGACTTAATGATCCTTGTTGGGTCCCTTCCAACTCACAACATTCTATGATTCTAAAAAGCTGCATGCTATCAGTGGGTGATGGGCTTGAACTGGCCAGAGTTCATCTGGTTGAACCCTTAGCAAGTTTTAAACACCTCTGTTCTAAACTGTGGTGTTCAAAATCCCACCTCATAGCCTGAAAGTGTCAAGGTGCTTCAGTTTTTGCCAGAGTAGTTATTTGAATGTTTAGCGGTATATTTTCACATATAACAGGAAAGGACAGTCTCATCTGCTCTTTGCACAATACCCAGCCCACCCATGTCCCCAGCACTGAGGCTGGTAACTAAGACATAGAAGCTGATGTAGATGCCTAACTGTTTCTAAAGATAAAAGTTGATTCCTTCCACAGTATTTCCTATTGCATGGTACTGGCAGCTCCTTGCTTAATAAGCCATCTTTTCTAAGATGTACAACTTCCTTGAGCATTAAGGGGGAGCCTGAACTCCTGACTTTGGGCTGCAGTCTCTGGCAGTAAGAAAGACATCTACAAAGTGGAGTAACTGGAAAATACCTAAAGTTTACACTGGCAAGCACTTACACTTATGAGTGCTAGTTCACACTCATAACACAGGATGTTTGCCTCTTCATCTCAAAATGTAATTATCTGCCAAATGACAAAAAATGCCAAAAATGTTAGGAGCTCCAGGGATAGACACGCTGCTTTCAGCCCAGCTTGGTTACCACTGAAATAATTAAACAGATTCTTGCAACTTTAAGCAAGTCTGTGGTTGCTAAACTTGCTCTGGATTACTTTTCTCTTGCTAGTTGCTAAAACAATTGTGGACAATCCACTCCAGCATTTTTAGTAGCTGAAGCAGTTAGGCTAAAAGCAAAGATGAGGCTGTATTGACTTCCAAACAAGTAATTAACTGTTCTTTGAGACCCAGAAAAATGTTTGTGTTTGTTTTTTAGATCACAGATTCTAGACTACCAGGATTTATTTTTTTTTTAAAAAAAAAAAAGCTCCTGTCTTGATTGGGCCAATTAAGGGCATTGCACAAGTTCAGCTAAAGATGTGCTGAATCCTCATCATGTTTTATGTAGAAAACCATCTGAATGATCGTCCCTTTTTACACAAGACAAACCGCAGCTGCAGGGGTTTTTCCTCCTCCCCCCCCAGAACTGCACTACCAATTAGTTCATGTTAAGCATTGATTTCTTACAATACATAGTTTTTGAAATTTAACATTAGCTTTGCATTCTTAGTCTTTAGCCTATGCATTTTTTTCACACTTTCAAATTAAAAGGAGCCAGAGTTAGTTAAAATATAACTACTTTCACTTAAAGAAAAGCAACTGAAATCCCAGTGTAGAATGCATTATTATAATGGGCATTTACTGAAGCTGAAAACTAGAGCAAGCACGCTGACATCCCGCAAGCAGGCGTTTCTCAGGAAAAAAAAAAAATCTCAATTGCAGAGTTACAAGCAAAACTTCCCTACTACTAATGAAGTGTGTGGCACGTGCTTCTCGGCAGCCTGGGCTGCAGAGTAACTCCAAGGCCCAGTGCCATTGTGAGAGGATTTTCTGTGACGTGAGTACACGCTCAGCAGTAGTTGGGACAACAGGGTAGTTTATCACCCTGGTAAAATTGCAGATTGATTGTTCTACACATATGACATTCGTCTTGATTTAATATGCTTCATTCCAGTTGCATATTCTGGTTCAGTAGTGGATTGTTTTAAAAATAAAAAACAGCTGCAGAACCCCTATGGCAGATGAGAACAGTGGTAATTGATTAACTGTCTTTATCGGGAAGTTTATTAAAGTTGATGTAATTTATTTTGCTGAGTCGAGGTTTCTACAAATCTAAGAACAGCTGCTTCAAGGGAATTGGAGTGTGTGCCTTGGGAATTGAACAGCTCGTGGAGAAAACAAGTAATTTTTTCAAGTAACTTTTCTGGCTGCCTTAAGTGATCAGAATTTACTTCCAACATAATAGAATGTGACTTACCTTGTTCCCTTCTGCTGTTCCCGTATCCAGCACTGCATGGGCATGACCACTTGGACACAAGCAGCACCTGCCTCCCCCCAGCACTGTTTTTTAAATGTGTGCCCTTCAAACATTAGGGACTGCACATGCTAGAAAAAACAGGCCCACCTAAGCAACAAGGTGCTTGTGAGTGCATGAGCAGCACCAGCAGCAGCTTTGCTCCACGTGGGAGTTGCAGCAGGCCTACAAGCCCCAACAGCTTCAGGATCTGAGCCTAGAAAGCAGTAGAGGAGGAGGCTGACATGAGCACACAGCACCCTTGGACTTCTGCCAGTACCATCTGCCATTGTATCCCACTGCAGGTGCCAAGGGATGCTGGACAAGCAGCTTCTCTGCTCCAGCAGGGAGTCCTCCATGGCCTACACATGGGTCTCTCCTCCACTGTTGAACTTAGCTGAACCTCCTTTGCGTTCTCCTACTCCATGCGGTTGAACTGGGTGTGGGTCTCTGTCTTTCCTCTGGCAACAAAGCTCTCTCTCTGTCCTCTGTTTTGGCCAATGGTTGTCTTTTGTTCAGGTCAAGGTCTCTCCTCCAGGTTCTCTCCACCTTCTTTTCAGGACAGTCCTTCCCCTTACAAATATGGATTCTCAGAGGCATTTCTCTAGTGCTCATTGGCCCAGACTGGGCTGGAGGGTCTCTGCCTTGGAGCCAGGGGAGCTTTTCACTCTCACAAGGTGGCCCTTCCCCCACTACCAAAAAAACAGCCTACACACACGCAAACCCAACACCATCTCTAGAGATGTTCAAAACCCACCTGGATGCTTTTCCTGTGCAACGTGTTGTAGGGATCCTGCTTTGGCAGGGGGGTTGGACTAGATGATCTCCTGAGGGCCCTTCCAACCCCTACGATTCTGTGATTCTGAGCCAGGGACCCAGTGTGTTTCTAGGTTGGCTTTTTTTAACACTACAGGCGTGTAAGGGACCTGAAGTTGAGCCCTCACTGCAACCCAGGCACACTAAATCTAGCGTTTACCATCAGTGCCCCTCTGGTTAGCCTGCTTTTACAATTTCTACTCCTTGTAAACATCGTATTTTTAAACGAGCCACCATATGGGAAGGCAGGAAGCAGAGCAACAACTAGGCTTGCCAACAGCCAAGCAGCCGAGAAGCAGAAACGCTGAGACAGTCTAGTGCTGCACTGGCAAACCGGGTA